TGTTATATTATTCTTCTTCCTTCACAAATTAAGCCTAAAGCTAAAAAAACAAGCTCAAGATGTTCAAGCTCAACATAACATGAGGGGGGTGGGGTTGATGAAAAGAAGATGAAATCCTTAGAATTTTACCTTAGATATGAAACCCTACCCCCCAAATTGAGTAAAAACCCTAGTCAAATTGCACAAGGTACACTTCTCTCAGTTTGAATTAAACTATCGTGCTACCCAATTGAGAAAGGAACTTGCTTGAGATCTGTAGTGCACAATTAATTTGAGAAGATGAAGAACTTGGGTTGTTTTAACTATTAGCATGTGATTAAATGAGGAAAGGGTAATTAAATGATAGGGGCATTTTTGTCTTTATGAGAAATATACAACGGCATCGGCATTTTTTAACGAAAAATATTTTAGATCATTTAATACAAGTAGTCATTAAAGTGAAAAAAATGAAACAATAGGTCATTTTTGTGCAATCTACTCATTTTTCTTTCGTAAAACTTAGACATATATAGTAATAGTAACTACTTTTGAAATATTTGCTAAGCCTTCATGGCTTATTTTAGTGAGATCAATATGTGATAATGAAATTATGAGTGTGAATAATAAAATAATTTTGAAATTACTAACAAAATCTACATTGTAATTATATATTTGATATTTTATTATGATGCATGTTGTTAAATCAACATAGCTTGATTAAATTAAAGATTTTTATTAAACTATTCTTTTTATTTTCATCTTATGTTCTTAATTCTTAAAATTAATATGAACATCTTTTATTCTGAAAATTAAGCAATAAGAGAATACATAAATTATGTTATGCATTTTGCTTTAAGATATCGAGAGGCCTTAAGTTATACATTATCGTATTTCTCAATATTACTTAAGATTTGAGTGTTTTATGTGCTTTTGGTTTTAAACTAGAAGTACATGTTCTACATTATCATATTTTTTAATATTATTCAAGAGTTGAGTGTTGATTTTTGTTTTAAACTTGAAGTACACGTGATTTTGGATTTGTTGTTAAGCATTCATGACGAATTTTAATTGAGAAATTGTGATGATATATTTGATTTGATATTGATAATTATGATGTTATATTTGAAAACCATGATGATTCATTGATTTTCTTTATTAAAATCATTCTAAACATTTTTATTTATTTATTAAATATGTAAATAAATAATAAAACATGTAACCTACATTATAAGTTATGTCGTTTTGCACTTAACGTTGTTTGGAGGCAATAATTACGTTATGGGTTATCGTTATTTTCAACATTACTTATTTGTAATTAGACTTCAATAAGGTCAATTTAGTTAAACCCAAAGAATCATAAATTAAACCTAACTCCCATTCTTAAAATCACTAACCAAATCCCCCTTCCCCCATCATCACATGTCAAGAGTAAAATCAGAAAATAAAAAAATTGTAAAACTACGACTTGAAGAGGACCAAAGGAGAAGGATTTTAGTGAAAGTAGGTCAAATTTATCACTTTTTATTTGTTCTACATGTTTTCCCGTAATTCCATGAAAAAATATTTGTGCAGTAGATATTTTGTTTGAGAGTATGTTTAAGGGAATATTTAAGTTTAATGGGTCCTAAGATGCAAATACATCTATTTTCAATTTGTATAGTGGAGTAGTTAGTTTCAGTTCAATCTAGTTTGGAATTAGTAAATTGATTGTCACCATCATGAATTGAAGTCTAGATAGGTCTTAATTTGTATAGTGGATTACCTTTAAAAGGTATTGGAATGTAATGGGTCTTAATTTGACATGAGTGATAATAAGTTGATTATACAAAGATTTCAAAATATGAAAAACCAGAGACAATTGTAAAATTTTATTTTCTTTTGATGTGAATATTTAAATATTATATTTATCTATTTATAATTTACTGCACCCACTACCATGGGCTTTGGCTTCGCCATTCGACCCCCTATGAAAAAATCCTAGCTTCGTTGGTGATGATAGTCCTTATCTTACGGTCCTATAACTTCTATTTAAGTGAGACTTTAGTCGCACTCCTCTCTTCACTCACGACTATAGTGGAGCTCCCTTGGGGAGATAACTAGACTTCGGCTAAAAGCCTATAGCAACAAGCTTTAGGCAGTGAGAGGCGAGGTAAGATTTCTACATATAGTTTTTTTATATTTTTTTAAACCAGTTTTTCTCCTCACTTCATTTTCATATTATATATTCTATTGTTTATTTTTTTTTCCTTCTATTATTTTGAGTATTGCTTTAAAAAAGCAATTTGTGTGTCTACATAGGTGGAAGCAGCGCCTAAGCCACCCAACTAAGCACTTAAGAGCACCTAAGAGAGCATGCCCACTTAACAAGATCAAATGAGGGTGAAAACGAGTATGCATCCTTCTTAAACATAGCAATATGCTATGCTACATGGGTACTTCTAATTTGAAGTCGTACCCATATCGGACTTGTACCCGTACTCAAACTCCTTGGACACCCCTTGCATATATGCATACATTTATTCGGGCATGTTCTCAATTATACAATTTTAATTTAAAACAATTATCATACATTTTTTGGACATATATCCTACACTTCACATTCACTTCTTGAAAGTCGTTGAACATAGGTCACGTTCCAAATTATGATTTTGAAGGATCGTTTGGATGTCTAGTTCAAAAACTAATGCTTTTCCGATATATAATCCACATCCACATAATAAAAGAAACATTAAAATGTTATAGAAAATTTAATTCTCATCATTGTTATCATACAAATTATTAATTCCAAAATATATTGTGTATATAAATATGTATATAGTCATGTCTTCGAGCCCCACTTATTACAAATTTACTATATCCCGTACCTGTACCCATGCAACATAGGCAATATGGGAAGAAAATGAACCGAGTCAAAATGGAAAAACTAACTTCTTCCACTTTTCTCTATTTAAAATAATTTTTACACATTTTTCATTACTTTTATGTATTTATTATCATTTAAATAAATTTTTAAAAATAATAAATAAATCAGCGCTCATGCAACCTCTAGTAACTGAGTGTTGGGTCTAGCACTCAGTACTCTATGTAACATTCGTATTGATCTGTTCATACTAGTTTTTTTTTCAATAAACCATACCTTTATTAACTATTTCATAAGATTGGTAGTTTTTTATGAAAACAACATTCCTATTCACTGTTTTTACAAAAGTAGTTTTACTCTGTTTTGGTCTAAATTTAGTTTTTTTAAAACCAATTTTAATAAAGAGAAAAATGAGTATCCCCAGTACATAGGACAAAATTAGTGTTTGATAGTGACGTGGTCACTTCTCATTTACACGTTTAAAGTCGTGCGCTTGGAAATGGTCCCTGCTAGATTGCTAACCAATTAGAACAGTAGATTGGATGAGAATTGATCACGTACTAATAAGGACCAATTTGGTTTTGGTAGAACAAAGAATATATATATATATATATAATATATATATATATATATATATATTATATATATATATATAATATAATATATGATAATATATACTCCTCTTTTATAAAACTAGTTTGTTGAAGATCGGTGGATGGAAAAAGTAACTATTCAAAAATCCTCACAAAAGATATATGTTTCTACTAATGTTTCTCCCCGTGTTATATCATTCTGTTTACAATTTTAGGTGATGCTCATGATAACATGACTACCTCTTAGTTAATGGTTAACAGTTAACACTTCAACTTCATTCCTCACAATTCACAGTCAATTCTCAATATTATAACTATAAGAGCATGTGAAGGCTCAAAAAACGATGGGACCTTGAACCATGAGATTGACATAGTTTACTTGCTCATAAAACAACATCAACTACTCAATAAGATAATTTGATAGTTAATCCTTTCAAGTCATCATACAGATGTATGATCAAGATTCAGAAGGATCATAAAATCTGCTAATTACGAAAAAGATCAAGGATCTGAATACTAAACATCTGGATCTTCTTGAATTATAGAGGAAGAATTTTCTTTGGCTGAATTCAAAGTAGTTATTAAGTCAATTTTCTATGCACGTGGAAAAGTAATTATTTTGATTATTTATTATTGATTTCCTACATTGGCATCAATCTTTGGACATTGGGATGAGGATGGGTGAAAACCATTTTTATCATATTGCTAAGGATCTCAGTGCACGTTATCTCCCAAAAGATGCATGTAGTTAGCCTCAAAATTCAGGATAAAGGCATATAAAGAAAAGATTCATGTAGTTAGAAAACTGAGAGGTACATAACCCAGGAACACCATACTTGGGAAAGGCAAATTATAAAAACCAATATCCATAGAACTCAAAATTGAACATATAGATGTCATCTTTTCAACAGGTGCCAACAATGGTTTTTTTAGATAGATATTGGAACAACTTTATCTAGAAGATCAGCAAATTTAAGTAATCATGTTGATCCAACTTTGAAGCAGAATATGTATGTACGTAGGGAACATTCACTTCAAAGTGATTATTGCATATGGATTATGCTATGAACTAATCCAAGAGGAATGCATATGATGAACAAAATGTGGAGTTTCACATGTCCTGTTTAACACAAATAACAGCACTTCGGAGTACTAGTTAGTTCATAGCTGATAACGGACGCAATGATACAGGTATACTCAATTAAGTGGAAACACAGAACTAATTGGGAATATTTTCATACTTTCAGGTAAATCGTTAAAGTCTATCCAAGTGCTTAGACCTAGATTGCAATAATTTACCATTACCAGTAGTTCCACTAACACAGCTTAACTTCAACTAATGGCTCATCGCCTGCAGTTTACTTAAACAATTTCATTAAACAATGAGCAGCTAGCTAGTGGTAACTCGTCAACCAGCAAGAGCTAACTGCGGTCTATATACTACTGCATTTATACCAATATGTGCATAATCACACATTTCTCCAACTGCCAATAAATTACCTCTGTAGATGAAATAAATAATAAAGGGTATCAAACAAAACAAAACCACAGAATTCAACTGTCCTCACCGTAGCCATGATATACTCTTCGAACGACTCCTTGTACTTCTCATATAGCTGCTGCGAGTAATCATGTGGTGGCTTCTGAGTGCACATATTGTAGATAGTCCTGATCAAAATTTTCAACAAATTCATCAGAATATAACCCTAAAGAACCGAACTTTTCCCCAAAAAAACACAGGCAACAGATCAAAAACCCTACGTGTAGAGCATCATGTAATCCTCAGAGCTGAACTGAGGCTCCGGCAACCCCTCCAAGATGTTCTTCAGCTTGGTGATCCCCTTCTCCATGAACTTCCATCCCTGCTCCAAATCGATCGTCTTCCTCTCGTGTATCGCCATCTCGAAACCCTAATATCGACCAGAATCAGAAACTCCAAGCCTCTGGTTCAATTCGAGCTGCGGACGATCGAAATTGAGGACAAAATCCCCAATATAAACCCAAACCCTATCAAATGAGGAGGAAATAGGGAGCTCTTGAGCGCGTGGCTGGCCGAAATCGGAACCCTAATCAAGCGGATAGGGAAAGGGGGGAGACAACGGGGATTTTTGTCCGCCGCTGAGGACAGCTTTAATAAATGATGACTCAGGGGGTTACATTGTAGATGAAAGGACTTGGGATTTCATTGAAGATTAGGGGGTAAATTAGACTTTATGTTATGTCTTCTAAATATAGGAGGCCGCGACTATTTTGAATAGGGTGTTGCTACATGGGCCAAATAGGGGACCCAATGTATGAGACGTGTAAGGTGTCATCATTCGGTTGCATGATGCATTGTTTATGAACAGTGCATCATGTAACCGGATAGTGACAACTCACATGTCCTATGTCTTGGGTAGGGCTGAGCATGGTTCGGTCCAAACCGAAAAAACCGACCGAACCGATCCGAAAAAATCGGTTTTATGAGTAGGACGGTTCGGGTCGGTTTGAAAACTTTTCAACCCGAACCGATCCGAACCGACCGAATATAGTGTAATACTACCCATTCTGATCTCAAACCCTACCCGACCCGTCCCCAAAGAGTCAAAGACGCAAACTCTAAACTCATTTTCTAGATCATTATGAGTTGAAAACAATATCATTATATCAGTGTTTAATGTTTCATAATCTCCTACTTTGTTGATATTTTTTTCTTTAACATAGTTTGTTGTTTGATAAGAAGTTTGATGAAGTTAGAACCGAACAAACCGAACCGAACCGCACCGAACCGACTTGCAACAGTTCGGTTCTGTTTTGAATTATAAGCGGTTCGGTTCGGTTGTTCAAATTTTGGTAAAAACCGAACCGAACCGACCGTTGCACACCCTTAGTCTTGGGTCCCCTATTTTTGTCCTTGAGGTATTAATGTTTTGATTAACATCAGGTGGGAGTTTTCAGCCTGGGTTTCTTCATTCATAACTGCTTAGACTACAAGCTGATGAGGGGAAGCCCCGAGTCGTCGTATGCGTTAATTATCTCCACGGATTGATGGCAATGGGAACAGTGTCAGCACAGCACAAGGCTTGACATCTTGGTTCTGATATTAACAATGAAGTTGTTGAGAGTGTACTCATTTAGTCATTTTGAAATGGTTGTAATGGCTCAATTTTTTATTTGTCTTAATATTTTAACTATTTACACTTACTTTTAACTATCTATGTTGGTTATATGCATCACTTGTATCGGTTTAAAACTATGTTAAATTTAGAACCCCGGTACCCACACACAACTCACCTCTAAGGGCATGTTTGTTTGCACGAAAATAGTTATGAAATAGATGAAGTATAGACTATTTTTGTTACTTCCATATAAAAAATGTTGTTTGTTTTCTGTAAAAACTACTTCCGTTACTTCCTTAAAAGCTGACGTGTCATCTAGCTGGCATCTCTATTTCCATAAAAATTTTCTGACTTCAAATGGTGTGAAATACGGCGGAAGTAGTTTTCTAGGGTGGGGTCCACGGAAAAATGATTCTCAAAATATTTTCAACTCCAGATTCTTCCCCTATCCTCACAGCTGGTTCTTCCCCTCAACCTAACCGTCCAGTTTATATTCAACCGACTGTTCCCCAAATTATTTATATCCTCACAATCACCCCGCGTGAAAGGGTATCTCAAGCTCGCGACAATTCTAGTCCCCGCCGACTTCCCAGCAAAAAGCGTCCTTCCTTCTTCATCTTTCTTCCTCTTGGCTTCACCAAAAAGGTATGTAAATGTTAAAATTTTGATCTTTTATTGTAATTAAATTCATGCAATATTTCTATATTACTTGTAGAAATCTTCCATAAAGCTTGATCTTTCAGTTTTGGTTCCTTTTGAGACATAATAGTTAAAAAATTGGGGGGTTTTTTGGTTCATGTAGAAATAAAATCAGTAGTCTCTCCCTTCTCTGTCTCTGTGACCCAGATTTCAAAAGGTGTGTGTTTTTATTTCACCAAAGAAATTTTTTTCATCTTTTTGCACAAAAAGAAGAGATCTTGGTGGTTGTATTTATTCGTTTGCTGGTTTTTCTTTAGTTTCCACAAGCGATATTATGTGACAATATTCTCCTTTTTTTCCCTCAATTTTTCCTCAAAAAACAGGTTTTTGGTTTAATTTTGTGTAGTTTGTTGATTTTCATTTATTTTTTGTGGTGAAAGGCCTAAATATTGACTTGGGCTTGTAATTGCATTGATGTCTCTTATAAGCTGTGATAACTGTTCATTTTCAACACAAGGAAGTTTTTATGTCTTATGCACGTGAGGAACCATATACTAGCTTAGTATGTTCCATGAGGAGGACTTGGTGGGAGTACTTAAAGTAACTGAACATGCACTTCAGTGAATGCAACATGCAATTATTGATGAAAACAAAGCATCATGTACCTGCAAATTTAAGATAAGTTTAAAAATACAGACAAAGAAATAGGCTTATTCGGATGAAAACAAAGCATCATGTACCTTGCAATCATGCTTATGAAATTAATTCATAAAAATAGGCTTATTCGGATGAAAACAAAGCATCATGTACCTTGCAATCATGCTTATGAAATTAATTCATAAATACAGACAAAGAAATAGGATGGAAACACATCATGTACCTTGCAATCATGCTTATGAAATTAATTCATAAATACAGACAAAGAAATAGGATGGAAACAGCATGAGGAAGCTCGAGAACAAAGTATGCAACTAATCAGTAATCAAAATAATAGAATATAAATCATCTGTTTAGTGGAACTATCCAGCATGTTTAGTGTTCCAATGACATTTGTCTTTATGGTCTGTTAAACATCACATTTTAGAGCATAACTTTTCAGAATTAATTTACCACCACTCGCCCATAGATGCATGTTGATTGGAAAGAGAATTTATAGGTAGCATGAGAAAATAGATTTTAGAGGCAACAACGCTACTAGGATGTGAGAATCATATTATTTTTTTCGATGTGAGAAATAAATTGGCGAATTTTTATAATAACTATGTGTGCTGATTTTTTTAATTTTATAACATTGTTTTATTTGTTTTATGTAGAATATAGAACCTTCAAAAGCTAGAGATGCTACACTAAGTTGCTTGTTGCATATGTGGCGTGTATAGTGTGACGCCCCTGGGTTCACATAAGGCTGCAGTCCAAGGTGAAACCAAGAATGTCAAATCTTTCATGCACCACACCGTGCAATAACATGTTTTACCATCACAATTATTATCTCTCTAGTGTTTGGTTCAAAAGTCGCTGCTGTGGAATTCATTATAACTTTGTTCGATTACAACAAATTCGAAAGAATAATCTTTTTATAAGACTTTTTCTACACAACAAAACAAAAATTACAACTCTTGAGAAACAAACACGAAAATCGTCTATCAATTCTCGTTTTCGTGGGACTTTGCCTGTGCCGGGAACGCTTTGGTTCGTGGACCGCCGATTCACAGATCGTGAAGAGGGGGCTTATGATTCTAACTTCGTTATCGAAGTAGAAATTGAAACGATATCTTATCGAAGTAAGATAGTCGTTCTTCTTAAAATCAAGTCAAAGCTTAATTTCAAGGCGTTGCAAGAAAAGAACCCAAATCTCTGCTCTCTCTGCTCTGGAATGCTCTAACAAATGCTCGATCCTCGTCAGAAGTGACCCTAGGGGGGTATTTATAGCCTCAAGGGTCTGTAACTGCAAAAACTTAACAATCGAAGAAGTCAGTACGGCGAGACAGTGTTTACTGTCTCGCTGGGCGAGACAGCGTTTGCTGTCTCGACCCGCGAGACAGTAAATTTGCTGTCTCGCTCAGCGAGACAGTAAATGCTGTCTCGGAAAATGGCAGTTTCTCGCTGTAACTGTTCTCTCACGTTTCAAACTCCGTTATTTTGGCAGTTATCCACGTGATTTTCGCCCATGATGTTTCCCACGTCCCTTGGCAGTTAATGGACACGTGTAGGGCAGTTACAAATGTAGTTTTGACTATTTCAACACTGTCTCGCTGGCGAGACAGCAAAGACTGTCCCGCTGGCGAGACAGCAAAGACTGTCCCGCTGGCGAGACAGCAAAGACTGTCCCGCTGGCGAGACAGCAAAGACTGTCCCGCTGGCGAGACAGCAAAGACTGTCCCGCTGGCGAGACAGCAAAGACTGTCCCGCTGGCGAGACAGCAAAGACTGTCTCGCTGGCGAGACAGTTCATACTTGTTTTGATTTTTCCAAAACAGTATGAAATCCTTTCTTGTGAATTTTTGAGTGATCTTCTCTATGCTTGGGATATCTATTAGCATTTTTTGACGCCTACAGATACCCCCTCCAAAGTATTCCAGACTCATTCTTTTATAGAGGAGCATGGGATACTTTGGATAAGATAGATTTTACTTACGATCCCTTCAATGCTTGGCTGAATAGATCGTATGAAAGGACTTGTAAATGGCTTCAATGTTTAACCTCTTCTGCTGTTAGTCTATCCAGTTCTTCGTAGAATAGCTAACGTTCTCCCGGCGTCGCGTTTATCGCTTGACCGTTGTCGAGATCTTGAATTGAAGTTGATACTTGCTCTTGTGAATTCAGCGTTTACCATTGAATTGGTATATCCATTGAGAATTCCTCAGGTTATCCTTAAGAATATTCAGATTAATATTCTCCAGAAACTTCCTGTTGAGGGTGGGAATACAGTTTAGACTCGTGTACCCATTGGAGTATTCCACTGTTCCATAGTGCAAAACAGAAAAGTTTACTGTCTCGCTCGGCGAGACAGAGTTTTCTGTCTCGCTGGGCGAGACAGTGTTTTCTGTCTCGCTCGGCGAGACAGAGTTGTCTGTCTCGCTCAGCGAGACAGAGTTTCCTGTCTCGCCCGGCTGCTATATAAGTCGGGACTTAGGGTTTTTAGGGTTTTTCACGTCGATTTTCTGGCGATTTTCAGGCGATTCTTGGGCGATTTTCGAGCGATTTTCGACCAGTTCTTCACCTCTTCTTCTTCTCTTCGTTTCTGACTTGGGTGGTGCTTCGATTTGAAGAGATTTCATTTGGATTTGAAAGGTCTGTTTCCCCTCTTTTCTTCAAAATCTTGACTTTTGGCAACCTGTGACTGTGCATGCAGCATTTCAGTTGTATTTGTCCTATTTTTTGTCGATTTCATGTTCAAAATCTTAACCTTCCTCTTGGATTTCAATGTAGATCACA